AACGAGTTGTCTTCTATATATATATATATATATATATATATATATATATATAATCATGCATTCCGTTATGAATGCACGTATATACTATCCTAACGTTTTCTTAGCAGAAACTGGAACACAATATTTTGTGGCTAATTATCCTTACTTCATTAGCTGTAATCAATTCGTTCCCTTGCCTGAACTGCTTGCCTTTCAATCAAGCAGTACCACTTCAGCGACAATAAACCTTCCCCTTTTCCTCTTATGCTACGTCATTGTATCAACTTTCCCTGTATTCCATTTCATACTCCAAAAGGTTGACCGTATAGTTCATTATCCTGAAAGTGTTATTTGCCTGCTGGAATGCCATGGGTTCAGGTTCCCCGTATTGCAAAAATGGAGATCACCGGAGTCGCTTCCACTGGCAAGTGCACGCAACAAGCTCAGCTTGGATGGTTTGTAAGATAATTGGCCATGGTCACTGTTCCTGCTCCATACACACGAAGGAAGGTATGAACCATGGAGCGTTTTAATGGCCTAAGCTGAAGAATAAAAGTCCTACCGATGTATGCCCGAATTTGGTGAATTCGTAAGCTTTTGCTACCGGCGTTCACGGATCGCGGACATGCCCGGTGGAAGTGGTAGCAGTACCGGCAGTAAGGAGGTAGCAGCCTCCGGCTCCGTCAGCTAGTAGGAACATTCAGCTGTTATGCTCCATGGAATTGGAATCATGAGCACCACTAGTTGTGCGGGTGAAATCTGTGCGGTTGCCTACGGACGCATTCATCAGGGATAATTATGAAGTACATGTGGATGTGGTAAGATGCATAAATGGCGGGAACCAGGATCCACGGAGTTGTCCCCACAGGGTGATGTATTAATTCAAAATGAAGTGCATAGTTTGAAGCCAATAATTAAAAACGAAGTCAAGTCGCGAGAGATTACCTGCGTGCCTGTCCTGCTTTTCCCGTGCCATGATATCACTGCCGTGGTATTTGCAGGTGAATCGCAATGCGAGCAATAAAGGTCGGTGGGGTCAAAGAAGCTGATCGTACTGATTCCAGCTATTCATTTTATTGTGGGGGCGTATCTCGTCGCCGTGCACCCGCAATGCGCAAACACCCAGGAATGGTGTGTAACAGTGTGTCACACAGGTTTGAAGGCAAACGTCAGAAGTATGATGCTAATGTGACTCACTGATTGTCGACCGACATGCTTAGGGATGAATTAACTGTACACGAAATCCCTGGCATGATTTGAATTATGTGGAGCCGCGAAAGCTGTTTGGCGGGGTTTGTAAGGAAATATGAGTTGGGCAAGTAAACTGAGCTGTAACAACATCAGGGTAAATGGAAAATGCTTACCTGGGGGCGTTGGGATATCCGAAATTCATCCTTGTGCACGTATGCCTCACGTAAATTGTTTGCTAGACTGCGTTGAGAAGTGACTAGCACAAGGTATGGGGCACCTGATTGGGAAATCCTGAAAACAAATAAGAAAACCACAGGGAGGACGCTGTGAGCAGTCACGGGATACCTGTCTCCATGGGTAATGGGATTGCGCTTTATGTCAGCATGACAACTTGGGGGAAATGGAAGTCTCAACCATTCACAAATATCCCGTAATCGTGGGTGAGCGTTGAAATGTCTCATAACCCACAACTAGTGAACACCGAGAAATGGTTTGTACCCTTTAACAAAGTGAGCATTACAAGCAGTGAGGGTTATTAGATGAGGACATTAATAGCGTAAGCAAACCTTCCCGGAAAAAGTAACTAAACCCTGTGTATTTCGACTCGCAGTCAGATACAGCATGCCCGGGTGCGCGGATGAGGCGGCATCGGGGCGACGCCCTCCCAGCGTGTTCACTAGACCACGTACTAAGCAGGTGTTAAGCCGCAGGTAACTAAGCGGCAAACACGGTTTCAACAGGCGACGGGCAACGGAATGGGATCATGCAAAAGTTTGCTAGCCACCGGAACTGTGCAGCCAACTAGTTGGAGAAGAAACGAAATATACATAGGGGAACATGTATTGACAGTTGCAAGGATTATGTACATAAAGACCATGGAATTCCTGTGAAATGGGCGACCGACTTTAACACCGCTGGACCACTGGCAGTAGGTCTCCGTTTGCAGTATTTGAAGACCTCACAAAAAGGACTCCCCAAAATCAATAAATTGAAACGCAGCATGCTTATCTGCGTTTCAGTTATACAGCGGAAATTCATTTCCTAGTTGTTGCTCCGGTTCAACGCCTGTTACAATGCACACAAGTAAAAGCGTTCCGTCCCCAGTTAGCAACCACATGAGCGATCGTACCAGCGTTGGCAAAAGTCATGCCTTACCCACTCCACGGGTGCATTGTCGTGAAGGTCATCGTCCTCCCGGAAGCAAAAGTTGCACACGTCAGTATCACGGTAACGAGATACTTCCTTTCTCAGTCTCGGCCGTTTGCTCCGGGGTCTGCACACGGCCAACGTACAATTGTGTAGCGGTCCGAATTTAGTTCCTGCGGGCAACATGGATGCCAGAGGCAAATCCGTCACTCGATGAACCAACAGGTACTTTCGTTTAGTGGATCCTGTTGCGCTGTTTGGAACCCCGAGGGCCTCGTTAGACTGTGCCGTTGAATCCCAAACGTGGGAACCCGTGGTGGGCGTTGGAAAGGCGCCTCCACCGACATAGATGGCATTTCAAAAGGCTGAACAAAGGACCGGGTCTCCAAGCCACATGTGGCCTTGTCATTCTTTTGGTTGACTAATGCTGGCACCGCCCAACGGCACGTTGCGTTTGTAACTTCTAAACTCCTGCCCCTGAGGTTTACACATGGCACCCATGATCGCAGGGCATACGCCACTGACGGTTGAATTCACATGTGCAGCTGTACCCATGTTCTTGGTAGTGCCTTGTAAAACTACCTCTCATGCGACGAAAAATCCCCTTAACACCATGCCGTGAGGCATAGCTTATGCGGACGGTCTGCCAACGTCGAAGAAACCGAGCACGTGCAAATGGCACCAAGTAAACAAGAAGGGCCGTAACGGGGAACATATTCACATGGGGACCGTACGGTGCCATGATATGCCAAACCAGGGCCAGGGAATCTTGCTGTATATACGCATTGACATTTTCGACAACTCCGCTGAATAGCATCTTCAGTGTTGAGTTCTCATTCAGTCGCCTCTTCAAAAGCTTATTCTCAATTTCGAACCTGTTGATCGTCGCACCGCCGAATATGTAAATAAAGATTTGCCGATGCGCAGCCCACGATGACGTACACCGAAGCCATGTTCGCCGAAAGTATTCGTGACATTCTGTATTCTGGGAATGCGTGGCACGCAAAATCCTTTCGAGCTGCCTCAAATCCGTGTGTAAGCCAAATTTCGCAGCCACTAGCGTAACCGACTTCTAACAACCACAGTTGTTCCAACTAGTTAAAAGCATCTCCTACTAATGTCCCGAATAACGTGAACTCGGCAAAATACCACCGCCGAAGCGGGATGCACAGATCTGAAGGCTCCGACTTGTGGGAAGTAGTTGTCCATCACGAGTGTCTGCACAGTTTCGGTACTTGCTACCATCTCACGCATTGCTGGTATCGCCTCTCTGTAGGTGGCCGACGTCTCATTTGACAACAAGGCGTAGAAGTAAGAATACGCCGCCCCCGTTATGTCAACAATCATACAGGGAGGTAGAACGTAGCCACCGTAATTTAACTGCTGCTTGGCATAGCATAAAACCGCCTCTCCATATCGTGTCACGAGTGGCGGCATGCAGCAGGCACAAAGAAAAAGGCACGACTGTGATCTCGTTCGAGCGGCACGCGGCACCTTCCATTCTTCTCCAGCCACTCGGTAACCTCACGAAACTCACCAGGTTTCTGATTCAGATGTCTCCGCTTTATCTATAGCAAGTCGTTACAGTTCAAAAACTGGCAGTAAAGCCGGAAAACGTGCGCGCGTACCTCACTATTGCTTTTCAAACTATACATTAAACGGGCCACCTCCAAATCTTGAGCCTCCGTCAATCGTCGGTTCCATGCATGCAGCCACGAATTCCCAACTTGATACCCTGGCTATGCTCCAAGTTGCATTCCCCACGCTCCTAACACAGACCCTACAAAATGAAGGAAAATCAAGCCAGACAAGTTAAATCCATGTATCTGCATGCCATACATATCAGTACATCATGAAACATCACTTACCTCTTGCCAATGACGTCGGAACGTGTGCTGCGCACACACGGAATTGCACATAGCGGTACAGATAGTCCTCCGGTAATTCCACACCCGTCTTCCTCTCGTGAAATTCCCTTGAAACCACTGTATGTCTGTAAAACGGGTACGCTGTTTCCAGTTTGAATTTCTTCACGTCATCTTTCAAATATTGGTGTTTACGATAAAAGGAGCGAAAAATACGCTCACAGGATACGGTATGGTCCACCGTTGCTTGAAATGTACTGTGCGCCAGAAGCAACGCTTTTTTACTTTAGCCCATTATAAACGTGCCCTCAGGAATCTGAAATCATCCATTCCGCTCTACGTGTCCATGATTAGTATTGTTAGTACAATTGTTATACACCACTTTCCATATCATCTATTGGCATCATGTGAAGCGCCCTTGCGTACCTGACCAATAACGCCCAATTACCCGATTTACGGAAATGTGGCGATATTAGTCCCGCCACAACGCGGCATGCCCAATATAGACCGTGCTGGCTTATTTTCAGCGCGCAATTAATAGGTTAGTGATAGATAAACGATGAAGACATGTTGCACACTTGCAATGGTTTCATTCTGAATAAGTCATTACATCGCGGAACTACGCTTATCATTAGCATGTTTATATGATTATGACTGATAGTTGATTCGAGTACCGTTTGGCAAACGGAGCAACACCCCTGAAATAGGTGCTAGCTGGCCAAATTCAATATTAAGATACCTGCAAAGCGCGATTCTCGCTTCATTTGGGAATTTTTCCTTAAACTCTTCAAAGTTTCGTTGATGCATACTGCAAGACAAGTGCAAATGTATTCACACACTGTCGTATTATTGTTGACTATTTTTCTTTTTTTCGGTCCATGCTTAAGGTATCTTGTAGATGCTGAAATTTATGGGTTATCTCGGCCACTGTACCACAAAATGAAGTTTTCAATTTTCATTGATCGGCAGTATGCAATTAATTTTATTGGGTTGTTAACTCCCGGATTTTGGGGGTTTCGGGGACGTTTTATCATGATTTACTTCTACTAATTCCACGTGCCTGCATTTAGCCTATCTACGTTCAGAGCATTAGTCCAAGGTCGCGTTCGTTTCGCCCGGGTTACTATTATTTTCGCGAACTATTGTCTTCGGTTGTGCACTGTGATGTCCTCTGTTCAAACTGAAGACATTATTGGCCAGACAAAGTCTGTTATGATCGCACTTGAGTCTTTAAAGACTCAGCAAGAAAAATTAATTAATGATTATGAGTTCCTTCTCACGGAAGGACGACAGGACGATGAACAATACCTCTACGCTAAAGAAGCAACCAGCCCGCTAGGTGTTATCGTCCAACGCATCCGCGGCGGATTGAATGACGCTGATGTGAGTCATTGATCTTCTTCACCATTTGCAGATTCTTGTAAAATTGTACGAATACATTCAATTGGTGGATGCCGAGAAGCAGAAGCTGCGGTACCAGGCTCGTAGGCTTTTTCAGGAAAACTCGTGGTTACGCGAAGAGCTGACGAGTACTCAGCTTTCACGTCGGGAATGTGAACAGAAAGTTGTTGCTTTGGAAGAACTCGTGAAGCAGCTAGAATTGTCAGCCGAATTGCGCAAGTACGACCCCAATGAGCCTGCCGATTCCTCGGGGATTGGAGATGGAGATGGCGCTAATTCGAAGATGCAGGTTGACTTGGGTTATCCAGGTGAAGATAAAGATTACGGGGATCATGATGGTACGTTCGCATTCTTCCACCACAGTATTCTTGATCTCCTTTCCATCGTTCTGCATTTTCGGAGTTATTTTTGCTGCTCTGCTTTTACCGTCACCACTGATAGCATCATCGGACGATCGAGTGTCCGATTTTCGTCCGATACCGGCGTGAAATCAGTGCCAGCAATCTCACAATGCGATTTAAGAGAAACAAATACTTTTAGCTTATTTATAACTTTTTAGTTCTACTCGAAAAGCTTTTCTTGAAACGCTAATTTATCGTTACTATTTTTATTAAAAGATGGGGATGGGTATACACTGAACCTGCATAACTCAACGTCTTGGGTATTCCAGCAGATTCCGTGGGTTTATTTAAGCAGCGAATACCTCTAAAACGATCACAAAGTTGCTGCGATTACTAGGAAAGATGACTAGGAACCAGTCCAGGTGTACGTGTGACTGCTGTCAACTTATTACTGAGTGTCCGATATCCGTACGAAGTTTGGACCCTTGTAGCTTTTTTCGACGGAACTCGGATACTTGTGCTATCAGGAACTAGCTACCCCTGTACCTGTACACTTGATTGGGTCCAATGGACATTTAGCAGATATTGTTTGTTAGTTTCCCTCTATCACCACCCCTGTTTAAGAGTACGAAACGCACAGGATCCAGGGAAGAAACAAGTCTTCGTCTGGCGGTCGTTTTGTTTCGTGTGCAAATAAGCGAAACAAATAAATAAATAAATACTTTATTCTCGTCACTGCGAGGCACACCATCAAGGGCGTGATCATGGTATTACAGACATGTATGATCGGCAATTGCACAAATTAGTACATTTTGACCAATAGCATAGGAATTTATGTGTGTGTTGAGATGTACAACTATGTTTAAGTGTGTATTTGGAAGGGGACATGTTGTGTGAATAGGTAAATGTGACTGTGTGCTTTTGTTCGTTGTGTTCGCCATCAAAGGGTGGAATCAATGGAACGCTTTGAATCAGATGACGTCCTTGATGTGTGAGTGATCCTCCGGAAAAGGGAAGAGGCAGTGACTTTATTTAGTGGCGAGTCACATCCGACACGTCACAGTGTTGTTAAACGGATACTTGTGGCTTTTTATAGGGAGAACGCTTGCCTGGCGAAATCCCACCACATCCTGGAAAACTGCCGCCGAACCATTTGCTGAAACGGGATTTACCCGAAACACCCAGCTGGCACCACGAGGAGGTTGTTCGGCTAGCCAGCACTTTGACTTGCTAGTTGATGCTTGCGTCTAGATTCAGATTCAGGTGGACTGGAACGATAGGAAAATCCCTCGTGTTCCTTCTTGAGCAAATCGTTGAGCCAGGAAATGATAAGGTGCTAGGTCTTGATAGATCTAAAACGAAACACCCTGCTCACGTTCCCTGCACTAGCAGTCCCCGCTGTGTAGGTTACGTAAAGTAAGAAAGAAGTAGAAAGTAAATGGAAGATAAAGGGGAATGAAAGTCATTTAATTGAGGGATAACACCAAAGAGTGAAGAGAACGACAGAATAAGAACTAAAAGTTTGAAGATAGATATGGTCAGGAGAAAGGAAAGATTTCGTGTTGCTACCCAAGAGCGTCTAACTGACGCTCGAAACCCTTCACTACACTTTCTGGAAGCGAGTTCCAGCGCTCGATAGCTCTACGCGATAACCGATTATCTGCCCTGATCCGGTCAGAACGCAACTTGTGTAGCTTCATGGGATGACCGCGAAGACAAGGCGACCTAGCCGGGCTAAATATCCAGCTCAAGTCTGGTCCAACCTTCCCTGTTAAAATGCGGTAAGTAAGGATTAGGTCTCGAAGCCGTCGGTAGTGCATTGAATACATACCCAAGCTAAGTAGACGCTCGGGGTACGATTGCCCCCGCAACCCCTGACCAATTTGGTACCTACTCTCAAAACCCTCTCAAGCTCCATTTTGTCCCGAACAAGGCAGGGCGGGCAAGCCTGGACGCAATATTCCAGATGGGGCCGAACGGAAGCTGAGAATAGCTTCACAAATACGTCGGCAGTTAAGACCCCGAAAGAACGGCGTATTAACTACAACATTCTGAAACCCCTACTAGCGGTCTTCTTCCAGTTGTCACCGGGATGCAACAACGAGGAATGGACGACTCCTAGGTCTACCTGGTTGGAGACAAGGGGGAGTTCGACCCCACTGAGTACGTAGCTCGAAGGCGGGAAAGTTGCTCCTATACGAAGGACGGAACACAGCCTGATTAATGGGCAGTAGCCACAAAGTAGACCAGTCCCAAAGTCTGTCCAGGGCATGCTGTGTGGCCTCAGAACCCCCAGGAACATTTACAACATTCCATAGCTTAAAATCATCAGCAAGCAATAGGGATGATACCCCAAGCTCTCCAGGGAGATCGTTTACGTAGATGGTGAACAGCAGCAGTCCAAGGACCGAGCCCTGTGGGACACCGCTAAGGGCCACTTGTCTAAAGGATAAGCTGCGACCCACACGTACACACTGCTCCCTTCCCTGCAAGAACGCAGATATCCAGTGAAGGGCGCGGCCAGATACGCCGTAGGGGCTCAGCTTTTGTGATAGCCTCAACTGGGGTACCTTATCAAATGCTTTCGAGAAGTCTACGAAAAGCACGTCCACTGAGTGGCCATTGTTCATTGCCTCGGTCCAAGCTTCACGAGCAACCAACAAATTCGTCAGACGTGAAAACCCCTTCCGGAATCCATGTTGTGCACTACTGAGTAGATTAAATCTACTCAGGTGACCTTCCAACGAATCTCTCACCAGCTTTTCAAGCTGTTTGACCACGACGCTAGTTAGACTAACTGGTCTGTAATTGGCTGACACACTCCTGTCGCCATTTTTGAAGGTAGGACAGATGACAGCCTCCTTCCATTCAGAGGGTAATACACAGCCTTCAAGTGACTTCTGAAACACCATCGTCAGCGATCCACTTAGTTCCACCGCCAACTCATGCAGAAGCTACGGGTGAATTGAATCAGGTCCAGCTGCTTTGGAAGGGTTCAGTACTTGCAGCAGTTTAAGGACTTGTGTTTCCACTACAGTAAACTCAGTTAAATCAGAACCCTCAGGTACTCTGGGGACAAGTTCAACGCGGCCTCACGTACAAAGCCCCTGCATACTGCTCCCCAAGTACACGAGCCTTATCTGAGTCCGCATACGCACGAGTTCCATCGGCCGGCATCAAAGTTGGGATTACCGAATTTGAACCTCATCGTCTCTTAACATAAGCGAAACACTTCTTTGGGTTTTCCGAAGCTCCATCAGCTAATTCCTTTTCGTACAACAGCCGAGCTTCCCTTAAGTGTTGTTTACACCTATTTCTAGCCTCGCGATATCTATCAAAGGTGCTAATTGATGGAGCCGCACGATAGGTTCTCCATCATCTAGAACGCTTCTGGAGCAGGTACTTACCAGTGGTATCTATCCACGGCGGCCGCGCTCGTGTCTCCTTTCTCCTCGCAAGCGGGATGTAGGGAGTGAACACTTCCGTGAGATACGATTTAAATTTCTCCCAGGCCGCCTGAACCGTATCAACCACCGAGCTTTCGCAACGCAACCCAGAATCCTTGATACGCATTGCCTGATAGTTAACACGCCATATGTTTGGAAATGGCTTAGCAATGCTCTGGTGACGCCTGGTCAGAGTACACCTGAACGATAAACAAACATGATCACTAGCACCTAAGGGAGAGCTGTAAGTGATGTCACCTACGAAATCTAGTGACTTATGGATAGTTTTCACGCCACGTGTATTTGCAAACTTTGTGCACGAGCATTGTAACCTTTAACAAATACCAACACTTACAACTGTACTCTAAAATTTTCGGTTATTGCTGTTGTTCTATGAGACGCCCTATTGAACCGCCGTTCGCAGATGTGGTGGTTTACGCAACTAACTACAGGCAGGGGTGCGAACAACGAACGACTGCGCCGGGTGGCATAAACAGTGACTGCATAACTGCTGCTAGTCTGTCGGTGACCTTGTCGGAAATAATTCCTTTGAGCTCGTGACAAACGTAACTTGTGCATTCCCTATGTGCCTCGGACAGTTCCCATTGATCATCATGCCGCGCGGCAAATCGACATCCATTCGCCGGCGCTGGTTTTACGTGCTAGGCACTCGATCAACGACTACAACCCTGACCCATGGCGGTCAAGCCTGCTACGTCCCTATCAAAGTCCTTAACTACCGGCTCACCAAACTCCAACAGAGATACGCGAGAAATCATACTTGCACGCCATGCATGCTTATTTAGGTCTGAATCCATTTCTCCAGCTCTCGCGCGGTTGTATTACGACGCGGCAGCGAAACCAGTTATGCGATGCGACCACGCGCACTATTTGCCCTGGGCGTCACAGTGTTCCCTCGGATACAGAACTGGCTATTTCTAGCAGTGTATAAAGTGCACTCTGACCCGACATCACAATAACGTGAGCATATCACTCGTCCACTTACCGGTGGCTTATTGACCGCGCAAGGAGTTGCATATCAATGATTTTTGGTGTATCGATTCCTTGTGGATTTGTTGATGCCTTTCGATAACTCTCAGTATTTCGGCAATTCACTTTCTAGACGTCCTAGTTTTCGGAATTCTGGAACCTCACCTGTATTGTCTAAAGTTATTCATGAACGAGTAACGCGCGGCGCACACCAGTACGAAGTAGACGATACACTACAAATATCACTCGCATATGTCTCCTTGAAAGCCAGTCCCATGTTATTGCCTAACTCTGGACATCGAATATCGCTGCAACCCCCGTACGAATGTATAACCATACGTACGTGCATATATTTCGCCGAGACTGAATTTCCTCGTATCCCTACGCGCTCCTAGTGGTATACGCTATACAATCAGATGTCTAAAGTGATGAGCCCGAAATGTAATCAAATCACGTCATTTTTTCAAACCATCAGGAAAATGTACACGGATGTGTCCAATCGCATTAGCACATCCCGCAACACTGATCTAACTGTTTGCTGTTCTGGCAGTGGGTTCCAGA